TTGCTGCACCCACATAACAGATTGGTACATCCTAGCTGTTTTGTTATATTCTTCACGTAACGTGTTAAAAGGCCACAAATAAAAATGTGTTAATAAAGCTTTTGAATGAGTTTTGGTGTCTCTGCTGTCCTTAGCATCATGTGTGAATGTCGTTCTTTTATTTACTACAATTTCATGCGTAAATATCTGTCTTGTACAGGAGACTAATTGCAGAAATTCCTATTTTAAAATATATCAAGTTAATAATCAGAACATAATAGTAAAAAGGAATAAAATTATATATTTAGTACAACTGTTCACAAAAAAGAAAGGCATAATTAGATATAAAAGTGTACAGCGAGTATGGTATTTAAATTCATGGTAGCTTTTTTATCTTACAGTAACAGAATAAGCAGTTGATCGTTATTGCATTTTCATATTATTTTCTCAAATTTCTTGCATACACAGCACAGGTACCTTGTCAGCGAATGTCAATTAACTATGTTGGTTTTGTGTATATATATATATAATATATATTATATATATATATATATATATATATATATATATATATATATATATATATATATATATATATTATATATATACACACACATATATATATATATATATACATATATATACACACACACACACGCGTGCGCGCACACACACACATATACCAAGCAAATAATTGTGTACAGGCTGTTCGTTTATTTTCACATACATTTTAATTTTAACAGAACATAAAATATACCAAAATTGCCATTGCCCTTAATTTCGTAAAGTTAAAGAAAATACAAATCTAGGAAGCATTTGTTAACTTAGTTTGGATTTCTGCACTGTAGAAAACATACAGTAGTCTCAAAGCTTTTCATTTGGAAGGTTTGTGCAGAAATACTCAGGATTTTCCTCTTCATAGATGATGGTCACAATCTGTTCTGGATCTGTAATACTTACATCTGCTTGGAAGAAGGCCTAAAACAAGCATATACTTTAGTTAAATTTATGTGACATACTATGGCATTCATAGCTTTTGATTGTAGTAATTATTCATGTTTACCCTCTCAAGCCGCTGCAGCCTCTCCTCATATAGAAGCTTGCTCTGCCTCAGCTGACCCACGGTCTTCTCCAGCTCCTCCAGTTTGTCCAAATGTCTGCAGTGACGCTGCTGCAGGAGATTCACTTTTCTCTGCAGCTCTACCACAGTAGCCTGCAGTTGCTCCTTGCTCACACTGTTTTTGTGGTAACTGTTCAAATTTAAAAACGTTGTTTTTTTGTCAATACGTGTGCATTTCAAATTCTTTCTAAAAGAATTGCAGATTAACATTTCAGCTACTTCTAATGCATTTACTTTAACAAACAACAATATGTTGGTTATTAACTTCTCTCTCTATTGTTATGCTAGAAAAGTGAAAAGATATTATTTACAGTGCAGTCTATATTATAATACAGGTTTTACTGACCAGTGCTCCACTTGCTGTTGGTGTTCAAAGCTGCAAATATCCAAGTTGACGTCATCCTCCTCTTCCTCCTCCTCATTCTCTGAGTCAGAAGTCTTCATGACCTTTGAACTCTGAGTGTACTTAGACACTATTGGCACAGTTGAGGCAATAGGCTGAGGACTTAAAGCTGGTGACAAAACAGTTTCTGGTATAAATGTCAAGAGTGGAGTTGGACTGGAAATTAGATTGGGGATGATCTCAAAGTAGGCAATATCAGCAGTTTGATCAACTTCATAAATATTAGAAAGGTCCACTATTGTGCAGGTTATATCCTCCATTCCCTCTCTGTGTTCGTCTGTTACTTCAGAAGTGGTTAAGAAATGTGCATCTTCTTGGTTTTCACATAGGAGTACCATTTCTTTGCACTCTCCAGCAATATTAAAATCTTCAATTTTATGTAATGTCATTGGTTGGTCTTTGAATGTCAGCAGGTTCATTTCTGTCTGAGAAGAGTCTTGACCTTTATAGAGCTGTCCGGACTCACTGAGGTCTAACTGTAGACTGCTTTCAACTTGAACACCAGTAGCTTCTGTGACACGTCCCAGCGTCTTTATGCTTTGATTATTGTTTGCCCAACGCCACTTAGCCTGTCTTTCACTTTTCCCCTGTAACTTCCCTTTCTATGACAAAAGAAAACAATAGTTAAAAACAATCAATAGAAGTTGGGATTTGAATTTACTTGTAAGACTGATTATGACTGATAATGGACTCATTGTACGTCAGATTGGGTTTGAGACCAAACATAGAAAACTCCAATCAACAAGTCTGAACAAGGTCTTTATATGTATTATTTTTCAAGAACGTGTTCAAGACTCTATAAGGAGCCGACTAGGTTGAATGTCAAATACATTTTACAGGAAACAAGCAGGTATTTGCAGGCATTTACCTGGAACAGTGTCGGTACCGCTGTGTTCTTCAGGTAGCGAACACCGAAGCAAACTTTAAAGTTTGATGGTGCAAAATGTTTATGGCAAATGTACTGTTGTGGAGAAGGTGTCCAGTTGTCTTTTCCCATATTCCTCAGCCACAGATGAAGTCGTTCAGGGTCATGAAGAGGAAACCTAACAACAAATTTAAGGTTGAAGTCAACTATATCCCTTGATATCGTGTTGAGAGACATGACTCAACTAAACTGCTCGTACGCTTGTCATGTGCCTCCAAGGAACAAGTAGTTAGAAGTTAGTAGGCTACTTACTTATAAAAGCTCTTTTTATCGCCAGGCGTTGTCCTGCAGTGTGGTACCGAACAGTTTTTAGGCATGTCGGATAACTCTGGATATAGTTAACAGAGTCTGGAACAAATGTTTCTCAACAAGGTGAAACCATGGGTGAAACTCGTGCTGTGTTGTCAAATAGCGGCGCATAGTTGACGAAAAGAAATCAGCTGTTCATAGTAGTGACGTCACAAACTTGCGACACCTCGAGCAAAACAAACGACGTCACGTGTACTAAAATTTGATCTATGTACTACAAGTGCGCAGTCTGAACAATAATTGGATGTTTTGGCTATATAAAGGTAATTCAAATATTACCACTTTTCTCAGACACGGTAAATGCGAAAACAGATCTACAACTAATAAAGGAAGCGTTTCTAAAACCTCTTGACTTATTTTTTATTCAATAATTTTCCTGAAACATTACACAGAATCTTTAAATGATACAGTATATATATATACACATACACAACAGTGTATATTAATCTAAAAAGAGGGCCAATGGACAATACAGCTGTGCGTTTCAAGACAGGGTTGCATTTTGGACGTTTGTGTACTGACAAAATCCACGTGAGCTAAATAACCAGTAATCAAACATGTATTGTAGGCTGGATTGCCGTCAGTGTTTGCTAGACTAAAACTAGTTACAGAGTAGACTGTGCAGGAGCTGCCTGGTGAGTGGCACAATTATGTATAATGATGGAATTATGGAGAGCAGCAGTACCTTCCCAATGAGGAAACAGTGCAGCAGTGCAAATCATTACCAGCTACAAAGCTCACCCAGTAACACCACTAATGGCAGACAGCACCTCGAGTGGAACCATTTTGACTGACTTGTAGAGTATCTTTGAACATGATCAGAAATGCCAACAGCAAAACAATAGGTCACATACTGTAGGATGGTTTGTATTTGAACACAAGTGACATGCTGCTTGCTCTTAACCATTTTAAAAGTCTGGGAATAGTACTCTAGGCTTCAGCCACCCCCACTAAAACCAAACAATCATTTTCAACTCAGATCTTTGGTACATGACAGCTGGTTCAGTTACCTACAAATGGACATGAGCAACATGAGATTTTTTCCCCGGTTATAATCAATAATATAAAAGAAAATAACAACTGGGCTGGGCTAAGAGATCGCTTCCCTATGAATCACTATTTGTGCATACATCTAGTAACAATTCATCAGAGACAGGGAACTCGTAGCCCAACAAGAACAACAGTATTTCTGGGCACTGGAGGGAGTGAAGTGGCTGGGATGTTTCATGACGGAAGGAGAACTACATCATCCCCAACTGCATTAATGTGTTAGCGTATGCCATGGGCTTGACATTCGGATGAGGCTGTAAGGAAATAATTTGTCCAAATTAATACATAGGACATGATACATTTGTCAGTTTAAATGCATAATAGATAATATAAAAGGAAGTCTATAATACAAATAATACCCAAATAAAACTGAATACAATGAAAAAATAAGAAGTAAAGACAAAAGGACACAAACCACAGCAGTGAACTGGTGAAATTCTGGCTTCAGATCAGATCCCCTGAGATGAATATAAGCTCCTTTGTTTCCCATCTGATCACTAGAAAACACAAAGAGATTGTTTAGGTATGCAGTCCTGCCAATACATGGAGAAAATGTTTTTACCCACCAGTAGTTGGGTGCTGAAAACACGGTGATGCACTTTCCTGAGTGAGTGACTTCGTAGCCCTCAGCCTTCACTTCATGACTACGGACAATGTAGTCCAACTTGTTTTGTTCCAGGAAGCGCTCAGTTACATCTGGTCCAAACTGACAGCTGACTCCCCGCTTACTGATTGATCGGCCATTCTACAAAATCCGCACAAGTAAGAGAGCAAAAGTATTTTCAGTAAGAACAAAAACAAATCCTACTTCCATAATGTGGACATTGAGGTTTGTACCTGTGGTTGTGGGTCAGACCAAAGGAGGTCACACATGGGCCCTGTGGGAGTATGTACAGAAAACAGGATTGTATTATTATCATTACAAACAACCTAAAAAACTAATAACTGCCTTAACAGCTGTACCTGAATCTGGAGGTTGTCTGTTTCTGTCTATTTTCCTTATGTCTTCCAGTGTCACCCCATCTTCACTGAACAGTCCTCCATGCATTACCTAGAAAAATATGAAGTACATTCCCAACTTTTGATGAATGTTGTGATTTTACTCTATACAAAAAGTATTCACAGATTCTTTCATAATTTCAGAAAAGTTGTCAAGGCATTTTTGAAAAGTGCAGTTTTTCAGCAAAACAAAACAAATTTATTTTTCACATTAAAACTAGCCTATTAATAAAATGTCAATTTCAAAGCACCGACACCCTACAAAAAGGTAATACTTCTATTATATTAAAATAATAATAATAAAGAGACATCAGAATCATGGTGCTTACCAATACTTTGTTGTTGATGCACTGTGCAAGAGGCAGCCACTGGAAGACCTCACTAAACAGCTGAAACATCTGGGCTGTGTACTTGGCTTTGACTTCACCTTCAAAACCATACATTTGGTTCATGTTGTCCGTCTCGTGGTTACCTACAGGGCAAATTAGTTTTTGATGTCAAGTTTGTTCATTGTCTTTATGTAAAATCATAGAAACAAAGACAACAGCTCTCACCTCTCAGCAAGTGGAAGTTGTCAGGATAGAGGAGCTTAAAGCCAAAAAGTGTTAAAATGACTTCCAATGAAAAAGATCCACGATCTACAAAATCACCATTGAACAGCTGCAGTTTGTGTTAAGACACTAATATAAGGTTGATTTGTTCAATTATGCACAGCCCACGAACCCAAACACAATACATAGACCACACTACAAAGGATACGTATGGGTTGGTCTCTGAAGGTAAGCCATTCAATGTGAAGATGTTGAGAAGATCATAGTATTGCCCATGGGTGTCACCACAAATGGTTATTTTATCAGACTGTGAAGATGTACATGTCAATAATAACATGAATGCATGTTTTGGTATACGGTCAATATAAGAATTATTATTATTATTATTATTATTATTAAATTACCTCTTTTAATGTGATTTCAACAAGACTTGGTAGCTTTGACAAAACATCTTTGACTTGCACCAAAATCTGAAACAGTGTTTTTAACTTAGTAGGGAGGAAGCAAAATAAATAGCTCAATAAATAATGACAACCAGAATCTTACCTGATATGCACACTTTCTATGGAGTTTCTTCTGCTCTTTGAACCATTCCATCATCTCTTTCATGAATGTCAAAGTGACTTTTCCATCTTCAAGTTTGGGGCCCACATAGTCATCCTCAATAGCTGCAACAACAACATGCATTATCAAGTTAATACGTTTTTTTTGTTGTTGTTGTTTTTTTACAGTATTACAATAATTTCGGACATGTATATGAATACAAGAAAGGAACATACTCATGTTTTCAATGTCCAGAGAATCAACCACTGATTTTTTGGTCTCATCGCTGGCAATGGCTCTTTCAAATGCCTTCTGTTTTACAATTTTGTTACATTCCTGGTACTTCATTCTTGCATCTTTGTCATTTGGTCGAACTCTCACAACCTTAAAAAGGATAGGATACCATTGATAGTTAATAACACCACAAAAATATTCAATTAAACAACTAACCTAATTTTCTATTACCATCCATTGTAATGAAAGGCTCTATTTTAACAAGTTGAATTGTTTTTCTGAGGGACCAGTCTGCTCCAGTCTGTTCTTACCATAGAACTATAATAAAATCTGGAAGATGAATCCAAGATGGCATCGTATTGTTTTCAGTGGCCTGTGCTCATTGGTGCATGGGCCCAAAAAAGATTTTTACTTCTGTGTTACTTCCTGAATGCTGGCAAAATGTGTGACATCAGAAACATGTGCTCTGATCAATCAGAGTGCTAGCTGCTAGAGCGGTGCTAGCACGCATTCAGAGCAAATTTTTTTAAAGTTCGTACTGTAAGAATACAGAAGAATCCATACAAGGCCTGTCTTATTATAGAATCATGGTTCTTACCGTTTCATAGTCTTTGAGCGCAGCCTTGAACTTTCCCAGTGCCATGTTGGACGTGGCACGCCGGTAATATCCCTTTATGTAGTTTTTGTCTATCTCCAGGGCCTTTGTGGCATCAGCCAAGGCATAGCCATAGCACTCTGTGCGGAGGTATGCCAAACTTCGATTGCTGTAGTAGATGGCATTGGATGGATTGAGCTCCAAAGCCTCTGTGTAATACTTGATAGCATTTTCATAGTCTTTCTCTGTAAAAAAAAAAAAAAAAAAGTTCAAAACACAATGAATCTCTAAATAACAGGCTGAGAAAACCACATTCAAAACGTTTTATATTCTGATCTTGGCTTCAACATTTTGTCATGATCTGAATACATTATGCTATAGGGCATCATTGATTAGCTATTACCTTGTTCATTAACAACTGAAAATTATTGTTGGAAATACATATATTTTCATTTCTACTTTTTATAATACTGTACTTATAACACTTGGTTTAATAAAATGCAATGAATACACATCTTTATTTTAGCGTGCTGAATGAATTTAACTTAAATGTAACATTACACATGTATATTAAGGCCTGGTTTTATTGTCATTATTGTTATTTCAACTTAATCATCTGCCCTCTTCAGCTCATCACTAATCTAAGGTGATGCTGCTCAAAGTGACAGCCAGAGCAACATGTATAAAACAGGGAAACAAGAAAAAAAAAAAAAAAGAGGATGGCTTAGATGGAAATACGACACAGCACAAACTGATCCAAGGGTAAAATATGTGATGGTCTCGCAATTATAAATCTATTGTAAATGTCTAAGCAGACGACTGTACTAAGGCGTGACAGCATGTGCTGATGCTCCATGATGAAGCAGACATACCGCTAATCGGCGTTAGCTAAGCCGGGCACCGCTCACTTCACAGCAGTGTGACTGAATGAATAAGGTGCGCGGCTAGCGTGCTGTAGCTTAGCTATCCACGAGCTTATGTCTCCGGTTGTAATAATAAACCATCTTTCTTAATTGCGCCACCTTGGTTAGTTACAAAAGCCTGACATGAAACGGTGTAGTGTCAAAGAAGTATTATTACCTTTGAAGTACTTATTCGCCTTCTCCTTGAGTAGCTCAGCATCATTACTTCCCTCCGCCATCTTCTTGTCACTACAGTTTTCCGATGTGCCCACCATTGACCAAATTGTCGCAAAACGTCGTAAAGTCAATCTTCTTCAGCACCTTTCAGCTCCTCACGATCTGCTCACGATGTTAAAGTTTCTCGTCATTCTTGATTTATACTGTGCTATGCAGACGAGAGGATGAGTACAACAACCTGCTGTCAATGAGAAGACGAGTGACCTGCTGCTGCTGTAGTATGGAGGAGTTCTTGGTAGCAAGTAAGGACATTTAGACCATCTAGACACATGAAAAAGCATATGAAATAAATACAACACTTAATGTAGAACAATAAGGATCAAGATAAATGTTTGGGTATCTTACGGTAATTTCAAAGCAAAATCAAGTGTTATCATTAGACAACCACCAGGTGTCAGCCTATTCTCTGTTTAACAAGACTACTAAACTTGGTTTTGAATGCTTTGAGACTTTTAGAATGATACTATGAGATTACAAAATTTATTACATATTTTCTGTTTATGTGCATTTATTATTTAATATGCCTTTTGTTCTACTGTAGTAACTTTATGGTTGAAATGTGTGTTGCGTTCTACAGATGCTTTGAGGTGGGAGGTGCACAGTAAGTACCAGCCAACCACAGAATGCTGCTGAGACCACAGTTATGTCAATTAGCACATCTTTACATGGTCTGGTACAAGGTGTGCCTATCTCATGGATCTTTTCTGAAAAGATCCCCCCCCCAAACACACACACAATAGAAAACCAATTTAATCAAACAACTACAATACGAGCCTCAAAATAGAAATATTGTGGTTGAGTGGGTGATTGTTTGTGCCTGAGGTTTTTCAGATTAAGAGACATTTCGAAGTCGAGTGTGACACAAAGGAGACTGTCCAGCCTGCTGCTCTGACTCATATGAAGTAAGAGGTCGCACAGCCCAGTGACTCATGGCATCTGTGTTGAGCAAAAATTAACCCCAAGTGTGAGTTCACTTTCCCCTTACCAGTTTATCTTATCTGAGCCATAACTAATTTAGACTGGTACAACAACCCAATAAGAAAGTGTAAACGCAGACAGTGAGTGGGAGAGACGTTGTGGGAGGACAAGAGGTAGGGGAGGGAAATTGCTGTTCTCTTGGGTCCATACATAGTGCACGAGCGTGGGCTCTGGAAGAGGTCCTGAGAAAGTTTGAACATACACAAATGGACAAGCATGGAGATATATGAGCAACTAAAGTAAGGGAGCAGTAAAGGTCAAGGGGAGAAGTGAGTGACATTCCTGGGCTGGGAGCCAGTGAATGATGAGACCTAGTCAGTATGAAGTAAATGTATGTAATATGGGCCTATTCCCGAAATCCCAACTATTTATTATCCTGTTGTGTTGCGCAGTGAAGGTGAACGCCCCCTTTAAGGCTCCTCTCCTTTAACTGTCTAACTTTTGCCAGTATTTTGTAGCATGAGTCGTGCTCTACCTCCTTTCCTCAGCCCTGTCCACATAATTCACTAATGAGAGCTTGACTTAAGGGGAACTATGGGGGGCATACTTATTTAAACCATATGTTTTCCTAACTGAAAAACCCTTTTAGGTGAATCAATGATCATTTGAAGAATTACTTTTTCATTGTCTTGCCTAACAAATTTGCTTGGTATGCTACATGGCTGGGAGAATAGTGTGGTTGGCAATGGTTAATTATTGAAGTTATCCTTCCTTGTCCATGTAATCACCTGCTGATCATAGTAAATATAAAGAAACATGTGGGTGGTGATATTAGATTCCATATTGTTCACTGGACATTATTGTTAGGCATTTTGTTCCATGTATAAAAACAAATTCCTTAGTTGAAATGGCAGCATCTTATTACATCATGCTTTTTTATGACAGCAAAATATCTAAATTTCACGTTTAATTCACTTCAGTGTATGTTGTAGAGCCCAAAATCACAACAGCAGTCACCTCAAATGGTTTCACAAAATGTATCTAAGATAAAGTTTAAACAGTCAAACAATGAAATCTTTACCATCTTACTGAGACTATATAAGCTTTGCAGCAGTGCTGTCGTGAAAATACTTAAATGATGAGAATTACAACACTTCACACATTCTTATTATTTATTTGATTACACAATGATAGTTAGAAATTTTAGAACATTTTTATAATAATATGGGCAGTTAGTACACACACTTTTTGTGCTACACAGTAAAGAGTTGGAAACGATTTGTAAGTGGAAAACAGAGCGTGTTGCATACCTGTTGAACACGTCTACTACATTTACCTTTCCACATTAAAAATCCCATGTGTTCCTTGGACCTGCTACTTCCCTGGATACAGGGGGCTTGGGCAGCGTTATAAAAGTAATTGTGTTTATATTTTGTTTTGTGTCTGTTTACTTCTGTTACTGAGCTGTTACCAGTGAAATATGTTGAGCTAGTCTCATGGCATGCAAAAAGAATTTACAGCACATACAGTGAATATGTGTACTGTACAAATGGTAGATTCCAGCAGTAGAAAGATCTTTTTTATCATGTCATGTCCCATCCAGGTATACAGTCTGAATCATGACTAAACTAGGTAATTATTGTAAGCCAGTTTTATCTCAAGATACTGTGTAACCAGAACCTAACCAGAAATATTACTAGAATAAACATTCAACCCTAAATCAGAGCAAGAAACATAAACATCTAATCTCATCAGAGATTATTACTGTGAGTGGTATTCTGTGAACTAAGAGACACTGATTTACGCTATATACTTTGTCAATATTTAATAGTGACATTCAGTGTCTTAGTTGTGTTGTACTACTATGTACAAGCCAATACAATGATTTGCTTATTATGATACAAACACTGTGGAAAAGTGCATTTGGAGACTGTTATTTTATTGGGCAACAAACTTTGTTGAGTGGCACCACAGCCTCATTAAAAGGAAATTTAGAAAATGACTTACCATACAATTAAAATAATTGTAAAGTATGGACTCATTTCATTAGCAGCATTTATCGGCAGCTCTTGTTTTGTTTTTTGTTTTTTAGAAGAAAATGGTACATTTTATATATTCTTTAGCTTGTCCCAATTTAGAAAGTTTTTGCCCTCTTTAAATGGTCTTTGCCCCAATCAGTGCCACTCGGATGTTTGATGTGTCATGGCCACAGGAACAAGGAATCCAACACACACCCCAAACAGGAAATGAGGAATTTTACTAAATAGCTCGATGTATGTGTTGCTGGAAGACACAGACAATACAGACAGATGAAAAATTAAAGAGGAGCATATGAAAAATATATGTGTAGTCAAAAGGCTATTTGTAAGATCAAATGTAAATTCAAATATAGCACTAGTAACAAGTGTATTGTAAGAAAATATGTGCTCCTTCAGTGATTTGTTTGTTTGTTTTCTTGTCTCTCTTTGACTGTTTGCTGAAGGAATGGTATGATTTTAATGATTTTTGAGGCAAGGTCTGTGAGGGGCTCAGGAAGAACTGATTAGTGTTTGCCATTTTGCTATTTTAACTGTAAAAGGTTTACTATGTAACTTTTCTGGTTGAGGGGATCTGCCACTTGCCTGTCTCCCTGTTAGTGCTTTGCCTGAAATGTTTCACAGCATAGCGTTATTTTGCATTTATGAAGTGCAAAATTTTAAATCAGTTTGAAAACATGCATTGTTCCTGTAAGCACACTTGCCTCTACCCAGATCTAAAGGCCGCCACACACTACAGAATTTTTCAGTCTTAAACTATTTTTAAACGTGACAAAACGCGCACACTATAGACACTAGGTGAATCTTATGAGATTTTAAATCTCTGATCGCCAAGACTGCTGTGGGTTAGGCCTGCGAATCAAAGGTTACACAGTTGTGAGCGCACATTGCGTCTGCTGTTTCCTGTTTAGAGTAAAACGACTCACTTTAAGACTCTTAAGTGTTCAAAAGATCAGAGCACTGCATTTCTAGTTTAGATGCAAGTCAAAACTGTATCATTATTATTATTATTATTATTATTATTATATGTGGTGCAGTACTTCCATGTATTTAGATGATTTTTAATGCACAGATGTTTGGAGATAAAGTAGGGCAAGGAAGTAGAGTCTGAATCTGCAGCTTCACCTCGACCCCGCGCGGTGCGTGGATGTAATCAGACACACTTCAGGAATTACTCTTTCTTTTCCATACAAAGCATGATATCACAATGGATACAAGAGGATCATGGATTATTCATCAAAAAAGTTAGTAGAATTTCGTGGTTGACTAAAGATATGCAGATGGCAAAAGCTCTCAAAACTATGTATCTCTATGTCTCTGACACAAACTGTGCTCACAAACAGAACAGAAACAACTAGTTACACAAAAAGTACTAGGAAACAATGTATTTATATAAGACATTTATGATAGATTAAACTTGTGAACCACTTGCCTGTTTACACATGAATACCAAAAAAAAAAATCTTCAGCTAACTCATTAGTCGGCGAATACAAATATGACTAAAAATTTACTAAATGACTAAAGGCCTACAGTCCTAGACCTCCGAGTGGTAAAGCTTACACAGTTTAGATTGATGTGGTTGTATAAATTGGACTGAAGCAGCCAGAGAAAGAAGAAAAGGAGTCAAAGTTAGACTTGATGGAGTTGGCATGGTGGTCCAAACCAATAGAACGTGCTAAATAGCAGACGGTGGCAGTTAATCTCGTAAAAGCAGAAAGAGCTTTCGGGGATTTCTGGTCAATGCGACAGTGGTGCAAAGACCGAATCTGTGAGTGCGTGCAGCCCTTTGATCTGGTGGTGCGGTTCTTGTTTTTATGCTGCTTTATAGTGGTGTTGACATGTTGTGACAGCGGGTTTATTTTACATAGCACGCCATGCTCCTACTGTGTATGAGCCATGAGCCCTGATGCGGTCCTCTCCTGGTCAGGCTTTCCCACAGTGACTGAGAGACCTGCCTCATGACTGACTCAGGATGTCTGCGTGCACACACTCTGACCATTATATGACTACAGGACTTGAAAGCGGAGGAAGAGCTCAATGGGTCTCAACAAACAAACTCGTCGAGAAAACCAGCCCAGTTCCGTCTAGAGGGGATAAATTGTCTTAAGTGGCGTGAATAGCCTTGGTGAGACAGTAATAA